TTTCCCTGCTTTTCCCATCTCCTTCTTTCCTTTAGCTCCCCGTCACTAAAACTGGGGGCTCCCGTCCCCATCGAGCATCTCTCCTACAGAACGAAGCCCAGGAATACTTTGGGTCACAGCCTCACTCTGCCTCCTGACCTCACTCTCACCTTCCTTTCTGTGAGGTTTAGAATATTATTAGAAAGACATAAAAGATGAAGACCAATGGGAACTACTGAACCGGTTACAGAAACAATTCCTTATGTTTGCGTAATGCTTTATGTTAAAATTATTAGAAATGGATATAACTGTAGCCTAAAAATTCTTAATATAAGAGGTTATTTAACAGTTTCATCGCAGGGATGAAGTAAGAGCTACGGTCTTCTCAAGTGCCCAGGAGAATCAAGGCCAATCCTGTGCTCAAGCTCACACCTCCTTGGGGGATTAATTAGCCAATAACCTGGGACCTGTATCTTGGCTTGTTTCGGATGGTATTTTTCCTTTTTTGGATCTTGTAAGATTACCATAACTCGAGGAAAGTACAGGAATAAGTACAGAAATAAATTAAACTCATCTGTGACCAACTAGAGTACAGCAGTAAGTTCTGAAATTGATCCTTTGGTTTTAAGAGAAAAATACTTTTGTTTCATTTTTTTAAAAAGAAGATATCTAAAATGCTATATGAGTCTGCCATTTTAGCTGGTGACTGTACTCTGAAATATGAAAGGTAATATGATTTACTAAATTGATAAGTCCAATTCATTACATTTGCAAAAGCTATGTATTTATCAAGATTTTATTTATAAGGCTTGTAAGTTTGCATACTTAGGTGTTTGAAATGTTTTAAAGAACTAGAGATACTAAATTTGCAATTTATTTTTTAATTTCTTATTTCAGAAAATAAAAATTAAAAAATGGTATGTAAGTGGAATTCAATGTTTTAAAGTTTTAAATATTTGACCTGTAAAACTTGAGGCTTACCTAAACATAAATTAAAGTACAAGTGTTCTCACTTTTATAAAAATATTCTAGATGTATAAAGTTATGCTTAAAGGTTTAAAAACTTGATTTAAAATATATAAACTTTAATAAATTCAATATTAATTAATATATAGGAACTATAAACTCTTTCAGACTTCAAATACTCAGTAACATGTCCAAATTTCCAAAGCACTTTCATGTACATTACATAATTTTATCATCAAAATGAAATTGTTTTCCTTCACTTATGTGGGAGCTAAAACAGGGCGAGTGTGTGTCTTATTCACTGCTGTATCCCCAGCACCAATCTCCCTGCCTAGCACACAGGGAGCTGGGAAATCCTGCACTCATTGAATGAACGCACCCGGTTTACAGAACAGGAAATGGACGTCCAGAGAGAGAACAGGTTTCCTCAAGGTCACAGAATTATCACGGGCAGGGCAGCAACTACACTCAGTTCTCTCTAAATTCTTAGAGCTCAGTGTTCCCACTATCACTTGCTGCTGTGCAAATGGCTGGCAGCACACAAAGTAACTCCTGGATGGGAACAGGGTCTTGAGATAAGAGGCAGAGAAGGAAAACAGAGGCCATTCCTGGTAGATGGGTGCAAGTGTTGGAGTTAAAACTATGAATGACTGATAGAGGAAACAGGAAAAAAAAAAGTACACACAGCAGAATGCACCAGAGAGAATGCAACAAAAAGCAGAAACCGGGGAACAGAAGCTGTGGAGAGTTTGGGGAATAAGTAAAAGAGACAAGAAAATGAAAGGTGGAGATCCTAACCTTCCCCACGAAACTGGCTTAAGAAAGTGACTTGGTCCACGAATGCCTGGATGGGGAGGAGAGTGGGTTCAGCCCTGTACTATGCAGCTTCATAGAAAGAGGGTCAAAGTTCTCCAGGGAATACCTCCACACTGCGCATGGCTACCACGTTCGTGACCCGCAGTTTCAAGTCCCTCCACAGCCACTGCTGGTCGGATATACAGAACATACTTCCCTTCTCCGAGTCCTGGTTTAAAGAAGCAGGTCATAAGCCACCATTCCCCTCCGTGAAGACCCAGCTGACACTACTACTCAAAATCCTCTAGAATTTGTACAACGATCTATGAAAACAGAACACCTCCAGGGCATTTTCTCAAAATCACCACAAAAGCTGAACCTTCCTACCTTAGCCAGCTGCTCCAGCTTCTCCAACCTACGAGAAATACAAAGTACATGAATAGGACATGTATCTACATGAGTGAATAGATTACAAGGTGAATCTGGAGTTCACCTGTGTCCGTCTGGTGTCCTGAGACTGTTTAAAAGAAGTCAATTCCCGTGCGCGGGCATCTTTCAGCATTCCTCTACCCGGCTCTCCCAGCCGCTTCCAGCACCTCGATATTCTCTGTCGCTCAAGCCAGGAGACCAGAACACCAGTCTCTGAAAAGATTCTGAGAAACCCCACTCGTCAAATTCTGACTCAGAAGGTTGAACCTCACCTAGAGAAGTCACGTTCCCCTGAGTGTCCAGTATCTCGCTCTTGGCCAGAGTCCCTAGTAACGAGTAGCTGCCGAGGGCTGAAACAGCGGGCACCTCCTGCGTTGCTTTCAGGACCACCGCCATGTCCCAGAAGATGTTCTGGCCCTAGAGACAAGTAGGCACAGGTGGGTTTATCAGGGGATTGTCACTGGGGAGTAGGGGTGAGGTGGGGAGTCGGGTATGATGATAGCTTTAGAAAATGAGAACATACCTATTCCTGGAGACCATAAAACATAGAACAAACAACTCAAATCCCCAAACATTAAATAAAAAAAAAAAAAAAGGTAAAGGAAGCCAGTCTTCCTGAATCCCCAAGTTAGGCAGAGGAACAAGCCTGCCAGCTTCTTCCCTATCACCTCGCTTTCATCTCATTGCTCACTCTGGCACTCAAACCTAACTTGACAAGAGAGCACATGGGAGATATTCCAGAGTACAAGTTTCGGAAGTCTAAAGATCAAAGAAGATCATATTCTTACAGAGAGGCTGTGCGGAACCTCATCTGGCTAGTGATGGTAAAGGGTGTGTTTAAAAACATTAAGACCACAGGATACTGCACAGCCCCGCAGACCAGACGGATCACCACCACTGGGAGCTTGTGAAAAATGCAGAATCTCAGACCATACCCCAGGCTTTCTGAATGGGGGGGTCTTGCATTTTAACAAGACCCTTCCACCCCCCTCACCGCCCCCCGCCCTCCATGACTCCATGCATATTAAAGTTTGAGAAGCATAGGTTAGAGTTATCAAACTCCCCACTGGAATCACCTAAAGAGTTTTTAACAACTAGGCCTGGGTCCCGCCCACAGATATTGATTTAACTGGAACGGGGTATGGCACAGGCATCACAATTTTATAAAAAGCTTTCCAGGTAATTCTGTGCAGCAGAGTTTGAGAACCACTGGTTTACAAAAAGTACTGAATGTCACCTCAATCAGAAGAGAATACTGCTATCATATTCCAAAGGACTAAAGGCCAGAGCCCTAGCAAAGCAACAAGACTCCAGTGTGGAAGCAGAGGGACAGGGTCCCCTCTGAAACTGCTGGAGGTCTTCCGGTCTCTCCCCTCTCATTTCTCTCAGACCATTATTTACCTTTGCCTCCTGTTCCGCTCCATCAAGGCCTGTCTGAAGACCTTCTCCAGGAGCCCAGACTTTGACGTTCTCAGAATGCACTTGTTGGCTGGATGCCTGACCTAGGAAATTTCCCTCTTCTTCCTCCTCCTTTTTCACTGTCACTGGGCCCCAAGGGGCCAAGGCCATGGACTCCCTCAAATCTGCAGTCATCTTTGCTTAGCAGGGGAACTCTTGTAGCTGGGGGCTGCCCAGCAGAGGTCAAGGCCCATCTAATCTTTAAATTTCAATCGTTTCTTCTTGAGTTTCTTCCCAGGGCCAGGATTGTCTGAGAAACCAGAAAACACTGTTAGCACCGAGCAGAGGTAAAGCCCACTGGGCAGTTTCACCAGTGCCAAGACCACGGTCACTGCAGCACAGGGACTGCTTTACTCCTATCTCAGGATGAAAGGGGCTGAACTGCAAACATGTAATATGGCCCTATAATAATTACACTGCAAAACATATGGCATATTTATTTTTTCCTGATTATAAAATTAATGTTTTTATTGTAAAAACTTGAAAAATACAGAAAATGAGTAAGAAAAGTGAGTAAGAAAAATGAGTAAGAAAAATCACCCACTTCTAAAGAGATAACCACTGCATATCGTAGAAAAGAAGATATTTCTTTTAATGGAAAACCTCCAACTACACTGACAATTACGACAACTTAAACTTTTTGTTTTTAACTATGGGGATACATACTTTCACAATCACTATCATGTTTCTTTTTTTTTTTTTTAAGAGGGAATATTACAATATAAAGATTTTGGTGCCAAAGATAAACAAACAATAGCATGAACACAAGAATCTCTGGAAAAAGACTGGGAGCCTAGACATCAATATGTTTGGAGTAGTTATCTCTGGGTGATGTAGTTACAGGTAGTTTTGACGTTCTTTTAGTTTGATTTTTACATTCTCCATTTCTTCTAAATGTCCTGTGAGACCAAGTATTACTCTTAAGATAAAAAGGCTTTTTCATGTTGCCATTCTTCATACTTATCATTGTTTAGTAGATACACAATAACCTATGGTGCTGTTAATTGTCTTTCTCATTGAAAAAAGATCAAGTTAGACAGAAATATACAGAATATGTCCTACACACATAGACACACCTACAGAATAATTAGTTATCAGTCTACTTATCAGTCTTTTCTCTTCATTTCCATCCATGTATGTACACCTTCACACATTGCTTATTTTCCAAAACATACATTAGATCACACACGTACATTGTTCAGCAACCTGCATTGTTTTTAAAACTCAATTTCCGTATTTCACAATACTCTTAAGTATGTTTCAATATAAGTACATACAGAGCTATCTCATTCTGGCATAGTTCTCCAAATTATACCTATAATTTACTTAATCATCCCTTATTTATGAACCATTGCTTCATTAAACATAGTTTTCTTTCCTCTTATTTTCTTAATGATAATTAACGTTAAATTTTTATTTTTTCTGTGCAAACAGGATAACGGGATTACTGGTTGAAGGATTTTATGATTGACATGTATTGCCCGAACTCCTCCTAAAAGGACTGCACCAAATCACACCTTTATCAGAGCCATGCCAGCAGGTTTCTGCCAGCTTAAAAAAATTTCTATGATAAAATTATCTTACCTTCCTCGTTAACTATGAAGAGAATAAAAAACTTCTATTCTCCTTTAGATACTTTATTAGGGAAAAAGTGCTATACTTTATTCCCTCTGCTGCTATTGATTATATGCTTTTTCTGACGTTACTGGCAACTTATTGTATTCATTGAGTTTCTTGAGTAATGCAATACTTTCATTCCTGCAACAAATCTTAATTCTGGAGGATTAATTTTTCCTTGACTAGTTTAATTCTATCAGGTAGGGAGGCCCTTAACATTCGTTCCCCCTATGTATACGGCAAGATGGGCTACTGTAGCGTCATCAGAATTCTGATCAAACTCAAATCGGCCACCAGCCCCAGACTGCACTGATTCCCCCCACCAAAGACTTCCCTTTCAATCAATGTCTTTTCCCTATTTGCAAATGTCGCAAGCCATCTCCTCCGCCTCCAAGCCCCACGCAGCCCTGCTCCGGGGGTTAACCCGGCCCCCTGGGGAGGTTCGTGTTCAACCTCCCCCAGGCCAGGCCCCGGGTAGGCGGCAGCTGGGTTTCCCAGGAGGTGGGGAGCAGAGCCACCATCGGACAGGCAGGGCTGAGGTGACGGGGGGTGCAGGACGCACCGGCCCGCCCCTGGGATGACCCTTCTCGTGCCCCGGGCGTTCACGCCCACTCCCGCCAACCCCGCTCACCGTGCGCGGCAGAAAGGACCGGCCGGGCGCGCGGGCTTTGGAGCAGAAGACCCGCAGACACGGACCTCTGCGCCTACCGGCGCGAGAACAATGACCGGACAGGAAGTGCCTCGGGATGGGCTTCCGGCTCCCCAAGTCGCCAGGCCGGCCTCTCTAGGAATCTCGGAGGTGTTTTCCTCTCGATGGGTGTCCAATGCCGCTCCGGACCAGGGATGGGCGCAAAAACTCAGAAGGAGCGTGCGGGTGGACTGTGGCCCTGAGCATCAGGGAGGCGGGTATCCCCAGGCTGGGCGGCGGTAGCTAAGCGATAAATACCTGTATTCTCCATATGGACTCAACAATCAACAGCTTCCTACGTTTGCCTTATACTATACATACTGAAAAACTTTTTTTAAGTTGTAAACATCAAACACTTCCAAATACTTCAATATTTCTCCTTTAATAATAATATTCTCCAAACACAATTACAGGTAAGAAAATTAATAATTCCCTATTATCGCTTAATATCCAGTTATATTTAAAATTTCCCAACTGTCCTAAAATATATACTTCATAATTTTGTTTTTCCAAATCAGTTTTACACACTGCATCTGGTTATGGCTCTTCAGTCTTTTTTAAAAAAACTTTTAGTTTGAATTTGTAGATTCACAGGACGTTGCAAAGATAATACTCCTCATCTAGTTTTTCCCAATAGATACATCTTACATATAGTTTAATATAAAAATTTAAAAATCGACATTGGTACAATGCGTGTGTGTACTTCTATGCCATTTTATTGCACATGTAGATTTCCGTAACCACCACAATCAAGATACACAACTGTTCCAACACCATAAACATCTCCTTAGTGCGACCCTTCCCTCTCCCCCTACTCCCTCCCACCATCCCCAGCCTCTATCAACCACTAATCTGTTTTCATCTCTATATGTAGTTTTGTCATTTCAGAACATTGTGTAAATTGAATCATATAGTAGATGACCTTTTGAGATTGGATTTTTTTTCACTCAGCATAATTCACTTGAAATTCACTTGAGTCATTGCAGGTTTCAATAGATCATTCCATTTTATTGCAGAGTAGTAAGTATTCCATGGTATAGGTCCCCCACAGATTGTTTAAACCACCTGCTGAAGGATATTTGGGTTACCTACAGATTTTGATTATGAATAGAACTGCTATGAAGTCATGTGTAGGTTTTCATGCAAACATGTTTTCATTTCTGCGGGATAAATGCTTAAGAGTGCAAATACTGGAATTTAGAAGAAACTGGCAAATTATTTTCCAGAATGGCTGTGCCATTTAATATTGCTGGCAACATATGAGATCCAGTTTCTTCATATCCTTGGTAGCATTTGATGTTAACATTATATTTTAAAGCTATTCTGATAGCTGTGCAGTGGTTTTTAACTTGCATTTCCCAAATGGCTAATGATGTTGAACGTCTTTTCATTTGCTCACTTGCCATCTATACTTTGGTGAAATGTGTTCTCGTCTTTTGCCCATCTTCTAATTACACCTATTTATTGTTGAGTTTTTAGAATCCTTTACATAGTCTAGATACAAGTCCGGTATGAATGTAAATATTTTCTCCCAGTCTGTAACCTCTTAAGAGTCTTTTAAAGAGCAAATTAATTTGATGAGGTTCAATTTATCATTTTTCCCTTTTATGGAGCATGCTTTTGATATGTCTGAGTTCTTTGTTTAGTCTTAGTTCCCAAAATTTATTTACTTTTTACCCGAGGACATCCAATTGCTCCAGCAGCATTTGCTGAAAAGGCTACCCACCCCTCCTCTACTGAATTGCTTTTGTACCATTGTCAAAAACCAATTAGGTGTTTGTGTGAGTTTATTCCTGGCTTAGTATTATAGCTCTTTAGTGTCTTTTTAAAATAACCACCTCATCCACTTTTTATCCCTTTCACTATGGAAAATTTCACACATATACAAAAGCAGAGAACACTACAATCAACCCTCAATACTCGTCCAGCTTCGACAATTATCACCTCTCCCTTTCTATCTTTTTGAAGAATCCAGTGCAGTTTTCCTATACGATATACCATGTTCTGGATTTGTTTCTCACAGTGTCAGTTATTTTGTTCTTCTGTTTCCAGGTCCTAGAAGATTGATAAATTCAGGTTATACTTTTGGCTCACTGCATCACATGAGGCGGCACATGAGGGTTGTCTCAGTCTTAGCGATGGTACTTTTTAGTTGAGATAAATGCTACCTTTCTCCATTAAAGTATATCTTTCCCTTTGTAATTATTACAGAATCTAGGGTGACACTTCTGCAGCATGGATATAAAGCATTTTCATATTCATTACCTCATAACAACTTTGTGAGGTAGATATTCTTCTTCCAGATGAGGAAGTCAAGTCTCCAAGAAATGAAGGCATTTGTCCAAGGAAGGTTGCAGAACCTGACGCATACTCAAATCCTAACACTTTTAACCTTGGGTCTCTTCTATTTGTTACTCTTGGGTACCTTTCATTCTACTAAGGAATAAGCCCTCATTAGAACGAGGAACTTTGTGGTTGAATTAATAATACTTATTATAATCAACATAACACCTTGATACTACTATTAGAAAACACAATCCTGATATTAAGGTATTCATAGTCCAGCTGCAGAATTGGAGTTTTGAGAATTACAGCATAAGATGATCAACTCAAGAATATAGGATGATTTAAACTTACAAATGTACAAAAGGGCACACAGTGAATGAATGGTTCAGTGGGAGTACTGGGCCTGACTGCCCAGAGGTGGATCCTGAATTGGTTTAATCAGAGCTTGAAGGACTTGGCTCTGTGTGAAAATTTTATGTAGTAAGTTGACTGCTGGGACAGAATACTTCTTGAGTAACAAGCTATTGCATGTCAGCCACGATGAAATATTAATCAGAATTGAGAATGACAGTGGCAGGGATAATCAGCTCAGGGGTTAAGGTTAAGGACTCTTCTCTATGAACAAGGAAAGCAACGTTGGACTGTCTATTATGACA